AAATATTATATATTTATATATAAATATCGCGTCGCCTTATATATATATATATATATATATATCGTTTAGTCCGGTAACGGGCGATCCGTGTACCGGTCAGCTAATAAACCGGTATGTACCGCCCGTACCAGGCGGTATTATTCGAAATTACATACCTTGTCATTTTCTACAGTCAAGTTATATGTACATCACATACTCTTGAATCTTGACTATAAGCATCCTATTATGTGCAGACAGAAAGTGAAAGGGAGGTTGGGAGGTTGATTGACCACCTTAGTCTTCGAGAAAAGCTACAAATTGTATGCCTTTTTCTCTTGATACTTCTTGTTATTCTTTTAAACCTTTAATGTCATATAAATTTGTTGGTTTGTCCCATGCGCACATTTGTTGGTAGCAAATCAATGAGAGATCTGTATGTTTTAGCTAAAGAAGGGGCTTCTCTTATAAAGATCAAAATTTTAAACAATAATTTACCTCATATAAGCTCACATTGATGTTGCAGGTTGGAAAATTTTCTTTAGAACATCTAAGAACATTACAACTGGCATCTATCACTTAGAGAAAATTTTCGTGACTTCTTTTTTTTTTTAAGATCCTACAAGAAATTCATCTCTTTCATCTTAACAAGCCATTTTGGACATTAATGGTTGCTAAAATACATTAAAATGGTCTGAAGGCGTTTGAGAGTTTAACGTGTGCATAAATATAGGATGCCAATCATTTATGAGATTCCTGTGAAATGTAAAAATAGAGGTTGTGCTGATGTTGATTTGACTGCATTTTTCTGTTATGATGTCAGCCTTCAACTGAGAATACCAAAACAAGGCTTTTACTATCTTGTGGGAATGAGGAAATAATGCAAAAAAGACATGGACATCAATTCTTGTGATTTGAGCCCTTGTTACAGAACAGAAGACAACCCACAATGGAAGCCAAAAACTGTTAGGACAGTGAAAATTCACAAATGAGCTTAAGATGACTATCGAATCTTGTCACAATGTTTTCATTTTCTAAGTTCTAAGTATTTGCATGGTTTGATATTCCCTATGCTTCTTTCTTGAAAATGAGTTTTCATATATCCTAAGCTTTAATTTTCCAGGCATTGTTACATTGTCTATCTGTTCTTCAAGGTTGGGGAAGACAAGGTTTACAGTGTCTATCTGTTCTACAAGGCTGCAGAACATAAAATTAAATGTAGGGTATGGACTGTTTTGAATGAGCTGTACGTGGCCAAAATCCAATATAATAATTGTCATACTAGGATGAACATGTCACAGCTAACAAGCATCTGAAAATAATTTAGAATATGTTACATCCTACGTGAAAATGAAGGGCATTCATCTTCTGATGTTTACATTCTTGTAAGTCTTGAAGTACACCATTTCCAAGAATCTGTATAAGTACACCTTAAATGATTTTTCTTTGTTATCCTTCACATGAAAGTATGCTTTTCTATTTTTGTTAGTTACTGTATATTTTCTTTTGGACGCTATATTCGGTTCTTTAAGTTCCTAGAATCATGTTTGAAGGCACCACTTTTGGACTTATTTGATTTCTCACGTAGACACACTTCTGAGACACTTTATTTGCAGAACTACCACTGCTTGGTATGTCCAAGAGGAAGTCCTTAAAGCTAATGAATGTTTGACTAATAAAAGTGGCTTCTACTTATTTGGCAGCCTGTGTCCCAAAACAAGCGGTATATTGTGAGGAATGGAATGCCACAGCTGGTAATATAACATAATAGTGTCTGATCAATTCGGAACCAATGCTTTCTGTCGTAATTTTACATTGTTTTACTCATCATGCTGCTTTCTGCATCAGATTCCACTGAATCCGGTTGGGCTGATCATGAGTAACATCCTTTCTGCTAAATCAAAGGTTTGTTTTGCCATTATAAATCAAAATACAATTTTCAACTTGAACATTGTTTTTCTGGACATGCCTTAAGGAATATGGTGTAAGATTTGGAAAAATGGAAGATATTGCAAAAGAATAAGGATGTATAAACCCTTATAGTTTCATTCAAGGATTACTAGTGAAAGAAACAGGGAGTCTCATCCAGTTACCTAGACTTGAATCTTGGCCTGATGTGGTTTTTTAACTATAGCCCACTGGTATCTGCTGAAACATGTCCAAAAGACCCCAATATAGCAGCTTTGCAGACAACTACTGGCTAATGTGAAGTGGGTGACTGAGACTTGAATGTTGACCTGAGGTATTCTTTTAACTATATCCTGCTGACATCAGCAGAAATATCTCTGAAATTCCCAAAGAAGTGTCAAATCATGTGAAACCCACTGAAACCATTGATATTTCTTTTGCAACTTCCCCTCCCTTTATATCTTCCTCAACAGCCCATAGAAATCAGTGTCGAAAAGCCATCGATTGCTTGATACATTTTGAGATTGAATCCTTAATTTTATTCTGTCAGTCGTTTTTAGTTTTATTATAGCGAAGCTTGTTTCGATTAACTAAATAATTAATTTTGTCAAAATATGAAAAAGCATACGAAAGATACCACTTATACTGAAACTAATACTGATTCACTTGGCACTTGTATATTGCAAACTTGAGTTTCTTTTAAGAGAAACTCATAATAACTTCTTCTATAATTATTTTTAAGTAAAATCTCAAACTTAAGCTGAGACTGAAAACAAAGGGCATGGAAGTTGGTTTGAGATGCTTAGAAGCTGAGAGCAAAAACATAGTGAAGATATCCTTGCAGTGAAATCTCAAACTAAGGATCTAGCTGGCATTGAAATCTCTTAGAATTTTTTGGAACTCCTAAGAGTAGTTCGAAACTTCATACTACGTCCATTTTACATATCTTTTAGGGGATATCTCAAACTTAGAAACTGAGGTTGAACTCAAATTATGAACGTAGCAGGTATGAGATTTGAAGAATGTGGTAGTGCAGGTCTCATGTTAATGTGCAGCATAGTTTAACAAAAGAAAAGTTCATCATGGGAAGCAACTGGGAGTACGGAAGCATTTAGGGACCAGGGTTTGGCGAATCTCTTCCTATCTATTTTTACAGAGTGCTGATCCTGATCTGGATTCTAGACTATATAAAGAGAAGGAATGACACATTAACCTCGTGCAAGGCATTATGTGTTTTAATTACTTATTGGCTAGTGCTTGTACTGGTTCTGTTGAGTTATTTTGGGATCTTCTAGTGGTTTCTGTGATTAAATGGCTGAATAACAGATGCAGAAGAAAAATAAGTATAATATAGTCATTCAAGAAGTTGAGATGGGAATTGTCAAGATAATATTTTTCTTTAATGGTTTTCCAAAGTTTCAAAATATCATAGTTAAGGTTATTAATTTATATTATGGTCTTTGCAGAATATACTCATTTTAAAATTTATACCCCACAACTTTTTCTACTCGATGGGTATTTGGATGATGTTATCTTTGTGCTACGATTGTTTGTTTATTCTGCTTGATGATTTCATTGTACTGGATCAATGATTTTCTTATTAAAAACTTCTTTTATGTTCCTGCAGGCAAGAATATTTCTAGAACCACTTTTGTGGAAAAACTCAGGCGGAAAGAAATCCTCAAAAGTTTCTGAAGAAAATTTGCAGGAAAGGTGATTATCTATTTAAAATTTGTGTAGCATTATTCATAAGCAGTTTAGTGTTTCAAATCTTCTGCTTTAGTTACTAGTTGGTTGCCGACATATATCAGCAGGTTGCTGCTTCAAGCAAGTTACCACCTTATGCATAAGTTTGTGTTATTTAACTAGACCATTGTGCATATCACAAGGACTTTATTCCATTGATTTGATCACATCTAGTTGTAATAGGAGAGGGGGGTAATGGTTATCTGTATGTGATTGAAGGAAATGCCTCTTCTACATTACAGAAGTCCATTGTTTAAGAATTTAAAATCTAATGCCTTTTCGTATGTATCTAAACTTGAATTTAACATTCAATCAATTCCAGTTCTTACAAATTACATGGAAGTAGAAATCACTCTCTAGTTATGATATTAAGCTGTATTTTTTAATGTGGAAGTATTTGAGCATCAACCTTTCTGGTTTCTGCAGTGTGGGGCAGTTCTTTCGACGTCATTTTGGAGAAGAGGTGGAATTTATTTCATTCTTTTATTTTATACTTGCAGATTTAAGTTTTCATTCCATGCTCTGTCACTTGTTTTCTCCATTACCACAATTATGAGCATGCATAGTCAATCTCAGCTACAATTTGTCTATACTTTGGGAAATAAATTGATTCTAGTTTCTAATCCATTATAGGTTGTTGATTATCTAATTGATCCTTTTGTGGCTGGCACCAGTGCTGGAGATCCCGAATCACTCTCTGTGAGTATCATGTTTGTCTTTGAAAAGAATATTTTCTTTTTCCTTGTTGAACTTTTAGATATGTCTTCTAACATAGGTAGGAGTAGGATTTTACCTCTGACCATTTTTATTTTTTGAATGATCCCTGGGACTGCTGATAACTAATTGCAGCATAAAATTAATCGAGTAAAATGACACAATCTATTGCTATTTCAAGTGTTTTTTTTTTTCAGTCCAAATGATTCTAACTTCTAATGAACTTTCCATATAGCCTCATAACATTTATCCCTTGTAAAGTTCTATGGGTATCTTCTTCTTTATGATTAGTTATTTATTACAGGTGCAACATGCATTTCCAGAGTTATGGAATCTGGAAAAGAAGTAAGTTCTTGCTAGTATTAAATTTCATTTTGTTGATCCTAGAAAGCTTATAGGTGATTTCAAGTCTTTAAACTTTTTATATTGAAATTACATTTGTGGTTATTGCTTTTCCTAAGCAAACATTGTCTAAGTTCTTATTTTGCTCCACTTTTATATCTTTTCACAGGCATTGAAGAATTCTGTGAAATGGTCTTAGATGTTGGACTCTGATATATGCCTGTGGTTTTGTTGATCCTAGTGTCAACAAGATAATTAGTGTGATAATGTTGCATGTTAATGTTTCGATATGTGTTAGTAATTCTTTCTAATTGTCATTTGCTGAAATGCAATTTTCGATTTGGAGCATCCATTCTAATTTTTACCCTTTGGTTACTGCTTTTAGTGGAAAAATTATGGTGATTAGATCACACAATTTTTTCACACGGACAACGGGAGTTAACTTATGTCTCATTTTCATCTGACTTCTACTTATCTGCTAAATAGTTGTATTGGATAACATAAGTTTTATGGGGACAATGCGAACTTTGTACTGCTTGTGAGAATTATGGAATTTAATAGGTAATTAGGTATGTTTTTGGTTTGGTGCTACCAGATATGGTTCACTCTTTATTGGAGCTATCCGGTCCAAGCAAAACAGTGGAAGCAAAGAAAACAAGGCAAGAGAAGGTTCTTCGGGGAAGAAGAGACACCAACGTGGTTCATTTTCATTTTATGGTGGAATGCAGGTAACATCATAAACTGACATGGCAACTGTGTTTCTTATGTCATTTATTGCCAGCTAATCTTGTTATGATTTCGTAAAATATTTGCATGAAATCTGTCATTCTTATCTGATCCACTTTAAACACGATTTATAATAGAAACAGTATAATGCATGCGCCATCCAACTTAGATCCTTGAGTTATATTTTGAAGATCATAAAACACTTTATTTTGGATTCTCTGAGTTTCTTGTTTGGTAGCATGCGAATGTGGGGGGTTGTAGCTTATTGTCACTTTCTTTTGAAGTCTAATAATGATAAAAGTAAGAAGGGCAATGTCTTAATATCCCATGAGCATCACTAGATCAAACATGTATGCTGCAAGTATTGTTAAGCTGTTTCCATACTTCCATTTTATACTGCAAGATCTAGCACTAGGTGCAGGTAAACGAAACATGGAATTTGAAGGGCTCCAAAAAGATAATCACAAAAAAGCTTAATTTTAATAGAAGCTTTTCAAAAACTATAGAAGACAAAGCATACTGAAATTTTGTTCGGTCTGGCATTCGTACTGTTCTTCCAAATATTATTGTAGAAATACTGACAATATCTCATATTATTTTTCAGAAATGTGTTTAAGTCAGCAGCATTCATAGATTCTAGTGTCGATGACATGTATCTTGTGCATGTTATTTACCATATGCTGTGACCACTCTCATGGACCTGAGGTCCCACCCACCAAACTTTTTATTTTAAGTTTTTGTTTAAACTATGACTATGATCTCTAGTTTATTTAATATAAGTGATTGTATCTGTCCCTTGCAGACACTTATCGACAAGCTGTGTGAGGAAGTTGGTGTCGATAATTTGAAATTAAACTCAAAGGTGTTATCACTATCTTGTAGCTTTGATGGCAGCACACCATTGAGTAGTTGGTCAATTTCTTATGCTACAAATGATGCAGACACCAAGGAGCTAAAAAAAGACCAATCTTTTGATGCAGTTATAATGACGGTAATGAATTTTGTTGAATGATGCAACAAGTGACATTTCCTGTGTAACTGGCAACCTCAATGTTTGTGGGTACTTGTTTTACTGACTAGCAGATCTGTAAACATTGTGCTTTTCCAGCTATTTTTTGTGTCCAATTTTTTTGCCTAACCAGCCTCTATTGCATCTGAGTTCTTTTTGTAACCAACCAGCATGTAAACTAGAGGCACCTAAACTGGAAATCACATAGTAGGATGGCTAAATTGTGTAACGAATTTGTTGTTCTTTTTCAGGCTCCACTTCGCAATGTTCAGGAGATGAAATTCACCAAAGGGAGAAACCCTTTTTTGTTGGACTTTCTCCCCAAGGTTAGCTTTCTGAAATTGAATTAATTTAGGGTTTACCATTTAAGCTTAGCTTTCTTGCTGAAGTGTAAGTATTTGGAATTAAAAGGAAAAGGCAATGCATCAGCCTCGACCAGCTATTTCACAATACCCCTATGTTTTGCAGGTGAATTATTTGCCATTATCTGTCATGATTACCTCTTTTAAAAAGGATAAAGTCAAACGGCCTTTGGAAGGTTTTGGAGTTCTTGTCCCTTCTAAAGAACAAAAGAATGGTTTCAAAACCCTTGGTAAGACCTTTTATAGAGAAGCTCATTCAAATTAGTGCATGTTTCAATTCTATTTCTGCATGACAGTAATTTTGAGTTTTCTTTAGTATGATGTATTGCTCACAATACAATGTTATATATACTTATGAATTGTTCATGCAATGTAGGTACACTCTTTTCTTCCATGATGTTTCCTGATCGATCTCCCCATGATCAGTATCTGTATACCACATTTGTTGGGGGAAGTCGTAATAGAGATCTCGCCGGCGCTTCATTGTATGGAAAATTTTGGGTTCTCTTATTTTTTGACTTTGCATTCTGAATTATCATGATTAAATTAAATATTAGTACAGAAAAATATATTCTTTCTTGGATGGTTCAGGCCAACTTTGTCATATGTTCATAAACTTTTGTAGGGATGAGCTGAAACAAATTGTGACTTCAGATCTGAGAAATCTGTTGGGTACGGAGGGGCAACCAACCTTTGTGAAGTAAGAAATACATTTCAAAGTGTTTCCTAGTGTATGATGAGTAGCATAAGTTCTTCTAACCGTAGTTTAAACTTTAAAATACAATAGGCCATATAGCTCGACACCGATTGGTATGCTTTTCTATAATGTTTTCAAGTTACATTGGGTGATATATGCTTGACGTAATGCTCAGTATCCCAGAACTGCATCATAATAGGTTATTGAAACCAGTATCTAAAACTTTTCTTCTAACTATTATTTTTTTATGGTCTGGTATTTAATGTTGGGTTATCCTAATACTTCTGTTGTCATATTTATTATCATGTGCTATTTTACCTCAAAGCATCATCATTTTTTCAAAATTATTAGGAATTTCTTGTACACTAAATTGTAGGCATATCTACTGGAGAAATGCTTTTCCATTGTATGGTCACGATTATGATTTAGTCCTGGAAGCTATAGAGAAAATGGAGGAAAATCTACCTGGGTTCTTCTATGCAGGTAAGTCAACCTCTGCAGAAATGCATATTTTATTTGTCAAATGAAGATTAATTATAATTAGGCCTCTATTTTTTTGTGCATGTAAAAACATTACGGCATGTTGTTGTTTTAAGTATTTTATTGGTTTACCTGCGTATTGATTATATCTACCTGAGTTTAGTGAACAGAAGAACTTGCATCTTGTAGTAAGTGCCTTGCCTAGCTGGTGCAACAATAATGAATTCTTCAAGATATCTGTAACATAGAAAGGATTTGAATGCATCTTTATAGTTTTTACAATGTATTAAACCCAAGAACCAAATTGGAAAAGGAAAATAATGGTATGCCCTGTTCGGTGCTTTCTGAAGATGGGTCTTTTTTTTTTCCTTCTAATTTTCCTTGCTCCAACTGTTTCTTCATCTTAGCAATTTACGTTATTTAACGCTACTCAGGTCCTTTTGTGATGTTCCTTCGTAAACATTGTTCTTGTCAGGCAATCATCGAGATGGATTATCCGTAGGGAAAGCTGTAACTTCTGGGTGCAAAGCAGCTGATCGTGTAGTCTCTCATCTCAATTCTTGTATCAAGCAGGATTCCACCTGATGTGGCATATTAGGGCTGAAACGTTACGTTTCACTTTTGTCAATCTCCATTGTGTTATTTTACTTGAACATCCATAGCACTTGATCTGATGATTTTGGAAGCAAAACTTCCTCCACCTGTCGGAAGTTGTCATGAATCGAGTAAGTTGTATCACAATATCTACCCGTCTTAAGTGCTCCTTAGCCAAAATCGTAATGACCTTTTGGTAGTTAACTATGGATGGTTTTTTAAAGCAATCAAATAATCTGCGATATGCGTTTCCTTGGATGAATTATGAACAGTTACTTCCAAGAACATAATAGCCAGGATAGCTCAGTTTTTTTATCGTGTGTGTTTTGGTTAGCTTCAAATCTGGGCATAGGAAGAGTCACCAACCACACCAATGATCGATCTAGGCGTTGGTCGTGGTTTAGCCCTCAAGATTGAGAATCTATAATAAATTATCGCCAGTCATTTTTTGATCGAGGTACTGATTGATCCAACTGACAAAATTGTATGTGTCGGTGTTGACCATTCTAATGTATGAAATTAGTTTCGGAACAAGACAATTCTGTAATCTAGAATTGCCAAAATCTGCTGGTACATCAACTCAGGTCAAAGTTTACATTAGATGACTAACTGCATCCGGTCATAAAGTAGAGTAAATACACGAAGGCACAGAAAAAATTTATCGGAAAAGAACCAATATTCCTGTTAAAAATTTTAAGTGTAAAGAAGCAGTTTCCTCTTGGCAAATCATGCCTCTCAAGCTAGATGTTTTGTGCTGCCAATGTTTCTGTTTCCTTTGGGTGGTTGATTCCCCGGGCTTAAGCAAAAGTTACTGGTAGAATTCAACTCAGCTATTGGTGATTTCTTTCTCCTTCGCCTTGCACATATCATCCGCGGTCTTCACAAAGCGCTTGGTCATCTCCTCGATCTGGACAAGATAGAGAGGTGCATCACCTAACACATCAAGCAGTGCACCTTCGAAACTTTTGTGATGTTACCTCCTTCTCAAGCCTCTTTATATCGTCTTTTGGGAATCCTGCAGCCACCTTTTTTATAGAATCCTGTGCCTAATCAAGAATCCAATATCCGTCAGAGCAAAGCAAGAAATCTGATTGCAATATGTTGAACAAGGGTTTGACAGTAACCGGTACTTGATTTACAACACTCAAATATGTGAAAGATAGGTTTTGTAGTTTTAGGTGGATCCTTACTGGCACAATCGACAGTATACTGTCATGATTGTAAAAAGAAGCAAATTGTCATAGGAGTTGCCTATACCTTCTGACGTGCTCTTCTGATACTTTGTTTAACATCTTCAGAAGATTTTGTGACTACCTTGCAGAGTGCCTGAGAAAATAAGCTCAAATAAGGCTATGACGTGAAAGCAAAAAATGGAGGTTAAAGAAATATCTGTTCAAAATAACTCACCTGCATGTTCTCCTTTGTGAGTCTGAAAGATAATAGTCCATGCCAAAACCACAAAAAGAGAAAAGCTTATTCGTTTTGTGAAAATTTTGAAATATAGATTAGAATGGAATTTAATCAGTTTTTATATGCAAAACGAGAAAAAAGCAAAGCTGGATTCAAATACCTCCTAAAGCCAGCAATATTCCAGAAAAGGTCTAGTTTGCAGTCTAATTAATTATAAATACTGAAGCTTAATAACTTACGGTGGAATTGCTGCAATTAATCGTTGGCCATCAGGCGTTGGATTTAATCCCAACGGTGACGAAATTATTGCACTCTCTACTGCCTTCAAAGCCTGCAACCAATTAAATTGCCAATAATAACTAAGAGAAGATATAATGGTTCTACCCTTCGCCCGAACCAGTATGTACCGAGCACAATACATACCAGTTCGATGGTTTGTTGGGTAGGTGGCACGGACCACAACACATGCCTAACAACACTCTGTATACACAAATCTGAAAAGAAATTTTGTGGTACTGTATGTTGGTATGCTAGCACGTAACAGTCTGTACCCGTGTCAATGCCCAACACGAGTCCGATACCCAACCGTGCATCATATAAATAACTAGATAATTTGGATTTTTTTATTGGTAGAAAATTGGTCCTAAATGTATGATTGATGATCTAAACATAACAAATGTTCAATTTCTTGTTGTTTTCTAGAGATTGACAAGTTTGCTACAAATTGACATCAGGAAGTTGCAACCAACCAACCAACCAAGATCAATAAATAATTTACAGTTAGGGACTGTTTGGTTTTACAAGCAGCTGAACTCAAAAGTGACAAGTCCCTATCAAATTATTGAATGATCATATAGTGCTTCTATATTTTGATAGCATAAAAGAATGAAACCACAAAGGCAACACTTACCTACCTGACCAGATTATTAGGAAAAATATGTAAACTATTTTCTCAATGCCTTCGGGTTTGGTACTTAAACCATGGTATCTAGAAATCATAGAGCTATGCACCAAAATTTTGTTGGCCTTATAATTACGTCAGCTAGATTCTATTCACATCACCTAGATAAGGAAATTCTTTCCTTCGTTTCCTGAATATGTTTCCGTGTACTAAATTCACAGCGTCAAAAAATGACTGATCTCTTGGTCCATAAGTATGCATATGGAACATACAACTGAGCACTCGTTTCAAAGTTTTGATGACAAGATCCAAAATAAGAGAGAAGCCATGGAAAAGAGAGGTTATATTATGGTTCAAGAATTAGATTTTACAGTGGGATCATAAGGTGTCACTGAGAGAGTCTTCGAGTCTATGACTGAAACAACAGCAACATGATTCAGAGGCATCTTTGCACCACCTGTTTCTACCAGGATATGATCAAGCATTCCTGCAAAAAGCAATCCCGATGTATGTGAAGAGACCAAAGTTCTTACAGAAAATGACATAAACAAATAGTTAATAAAAGGCATACCAGCAGATGCTCTTCCAGTCCTGAGTTTACTTAACTCCCGCGATAAAGCAACAATTGCAGCCTCCATCTGTGAAAGAGAGGTTGACTTCACCGTTGGACCGAAGTTAGGATCAACCTGAATCTTCTCGTCGTTGTTGTCATCCTCTAAAAGAATCAAAATGACAAAAACATAAAACATAATCCAATTAAGAATGGGAAGCACAGAAGGGTAAGGAACATATATTCAAATTTTAGCAAGGTATGTAAGATTAATTGTTTTTCATTGTATTTCCTTCATCTTTAAATTTGAATTTAAAATGAATCAAAATAATTCAAATAACAATTTAAAAGATCTGTAACATGGATATCATCTCTATGATCTGCATCACCAGGTTGTCATGTCCTAACATCTTCTGCCACCGCTAGTAAAATTAGCATGATACATTTGACAGGACAAAAAAAAAAAAAATTGATTACGAGGACAAACTTGTGGTTTGCATGAGCATGAAAGTACATTGCATATCTAGTTTTATGTTTCATCATCATTGTTATTAATTATATAATATTACTGCAATACCATAAAACAAGATTGATAATGATACACTTCATATGTTTCTTTGGGCTTTTGATACAATTCTATATTTATAATGACAATGATAGTATGATAACATAAAACAAGATTGATAATGATACAATTCTACAATTATATTACTGTGTTACCATTGTTGTTAAGTCTGCCTTACCCTACATTGAGTAAGGCCCAAAACATTCTTCAGATTAGTAAATATTGAACTCATATTCAGTCTTCCAGACAAAACAGTTCCTGCCTTAGATTTTATTCTGTTCTGAATTATTACTACTGGAAGCAGACAGCACGACAATTGTATGACGAAGTACATCACCATAAAACATCAACAGTGTCTACTATTACTGTTCCAAAATTAACTATGTCTACAATTACTGTTCAAAAATTAACTATGTTAAATCCAATCTAATTGGTAAGATCAAAAAGGGGCAACGCAGGCTTTGACTTGAATTCTAGCCACTTTGATCACAAAGTAGTAACCTTACCATCGTACCAAGATTAGCCCTCAAGTTACTTTGCAAAATCATTGGCAATAATCTCCACAGAGTTCCAATCAGTCATGTTTATGTTTAGCTATCTATATCAGTAAAGGAATATATCGACGTAATTGACAAAATCCATGTCCAAAAATACTTTTCCTGTGCCATTCAGTTGCTCGTCGTGCAACCTCCGTTACATTATATTCTTTACCTCTACTCACCACCAATCTCTCTAGCATACGATAGGTTATGTCGGATCATCCTCTATTAATAGTTCCTTGCTGGTATAGCACTACAATCTTTCACGACCTGACACTATTAGTCTATTATCTAATCGGAGGGAGGAGCACTACAACTTGACCTAGAAACCATGTCAAAAACTGAACTTGATTGAAGTGATGCTTACATCTCAACTCGACATTCAATCCATAAACGAGCAAATACTGCAAAGGCGAATCCGACGGCCCCGCAATAGACCGCAGGATACCATGTCTTGTTCGTCATTGTTCTCTAAGGAGGAGGAAAAGAGGAGGAAGCACACAAACAGCGAAGGACGACAGCTTACTTGACTTCTTTCCCTTAGCGAAGCCCCTCCGACTTCCCAACGAGTAGTCGGAACCTACACGGAAGAAGCCGCCACGAATGCCGAGAACGGACGCCTCCTCCAGTGCGGGATCGCGAGGAGAGACGCACGACGAGGGCGACAGAGCGACGACACAACGAGGAGCTCGGAGGAGGAGAAGGCTTCTCGACTGGAGAGCTCTCCGAAGACACATCGCCATGGTTAGGGCCACGGTTGTTGGCTTCTGTCTGCTATCGGATCTCTCGTTCGCCTTTGCGCCGGAGTAGTTTCGAAGCGGAAGAGAAGCCGACCAGCGCAGCCTTCGCGTTCGTTCGCAAAGAGGGTTTTTCTCGTCTCTCTTATACCTCTCCCGTTTGCTTTATTTACAATGTTACCAAGCCCGCAGGGTTTTATTATTATTATTATTATTATTATTATTGATGATACGATTTCACTGATATTTCTTCTTTATTATTCTTAAATAATACCGTAGCTTATTATATGGAGTATTTCTTAACATATTATTATTATTTTACTTTTTTTAATCGTGAATTTGCTATTCCTTTAGCCGAATTATGAAGAAAAACAATAAAATAATGTTTAGTAAAATAATAAAAATCAAAT